CCGCCCCTATTAGTCCTGCAGCGCCCACAAAAGGGCGTTATTGCCCACTTTGGGATTTTCGTTTTGAGATTGGATTAAAAATGAAATTGTTACCATATATGTACCTACGGTAGGTATAGTCATGACAAGCAAGTCTAGTTTACGTTCCGAGTTTGTGACTCATAAAAATGTCTCGGAAGAGCCTTGGTTGTCGCCAGGCTTGTACGCTGCGCCTGCGCCGACACGTCTTTATCCTATTAATGGCGCCGTACAATCTGAGCGTCGTACAGACGATAATTTTTTTTTTCTACAGGAATAAACTACTTTTTAACTGACTTCAAAAAAGGTTAGAAATTCGTTCGTATGTTTTTTTTTTGTAAGATAACAAACCTCATAACTTTTTTATTCATAAACCGTAAATTTTATCATATTCAAAGTATTATATAATGAAATATTATATTCATACTAGTTTATTTATTTAAATATATATATATATATATATATATATATATATATATATATATATATATATATATATATATATATATATATATATATAAAAAATTTTAAAATATTCGAATTTTTCATTTTTCAATTGAATCACCAGTGGGAGACTTTGTACAAAAGTCGATTGCTTAGGTACCTCTGTCCTATTCGTGTTTCTACCGTGAAGCAGTTGTGTTTGCATGGCTGTGTTTCGGTTTGAAGGGTGGGATATGGCGTGAATTTACAAGGTACAGAGGAATAACACCTGAGTCCTCAGGAATGGCAACGCATGGGGGTATCATGGACGAAACTGTGTATGTACTGTTAAGTCCATGGTACTGCTCATGTCTATAGGCGACGGTTACCACTTTCCATCAGGTAGGTCTTTAACTTGTTTGCCATTCTAAGTCGTATAAAAAAAAATTCGAAACATAATTTTTTTTGCACGAAATAAATTAGATTAAGGTAAATAATAATAGCTAAATATAGAAATCTATCTAAAGATGTATGTTTATACAATAGGTGGGTACTGCATTATCACGTGGTCAATACATTATCGACTTGAAAGGTCGATGCTGTGTATTTATACACTATAATGTTATTCTATTACATTTGCAGAGACACGATAATAAGTTTACATACATACGTACATTTAGTTTTTAAATTAAAATAACTGTTTAATCATCAAAATAAAAAATATAAATTTAACCACGATTGATGTTTCTTTTTTGTGTAACGCAGTCTTAAATTATTAATGGTATAAAAATAAAATGGTGATTTTCAAACGGTCCCTCTGAAAAGCATCGGGGTTAATTTATGACTAAATTGCCACGATGAGTTTTATTTTATCCTTGAGTTTAAACTTGGGTTAAACTAAAAACGCAAGCAGGGTTACCATTACATTTTCATTCATTTAAAAAACCCTTAAAACTATATTTTTTAATGTAATAACTACCTATTTAACTTACGTGTAATTTAGTAAACTCTAAGTCTTGAAGAGGCTTGCGCTCAAGTCACAGCTGCTCAAAGCTAAAGGGCCCAGATGGTCCCGAATCTAGTCGACATTCCTCGACCAAAATATACGTAAGTTAAACAGGTCCACTAGAGTAACTATAAAAGATTATGGAAAATTTTACTTTTTTCATATACCTACGCTCCTATGGTTTAAAGCCAACTGTGTACTGTATGATGTCCATGCATTTGTTTACTCTCTATAGAACATTACCGTCCAAATATCCGGCCTGTCCCCGCTAAATATAACATGTCCGTCACTTGTACATACGCTATATGCGCAAACGCATGCCTATGGAGGAGTCAATAACTTCACCGTTCTCGCGGAAAACATAAACCGACATATCAGTAACGTCTCGTGATACAAACATAAAGGAATCTATTTATATTTTACTACAAAGACATACCCTGAAAGATTCAAAATCAACTTTTTCCTTGACGTCTATTTTATTAAGCGTTCAAAAAGAGGGAGGGAGTTCTCGATTTGCCAGTGTTACGCGGTTACGACATCAGCCAGTGTTGCCAGATTGGATATTTTTAACAATTTTGAGTTAAAAAAAATCTGTTCTTGACTTATTGGTGAAATGAAATTCTTTGAAGAAAAGTGAAAAAGGCTTGGAGAAATATAGGTATTTTTTGACAATTCTGGTACGTGTAAACTGTATAGCTGTATATAAACATAATAAAATATATGAATGAAGCAAAACACGAGAATAGGATAAGAGAAGAGCTAAATGTAAAAGTATAGGTAAGGGCGTTTTTATCGTCGTTCACTTTGTACATGGAAAAAATGTAAAAAAAATTGATATAACACTGATTGGGTAAAAGTGAAGGAAATCGTATCAAAAATTTGGCGAAAAACTGACAAATTTAATATTATTTCTGAACGAATTTTGATAATAATAAGAAGTATATTTAACTGCGACTATAATTTAGATAAAACCCAAAAAATAACAGGTACATTAACAGTTCGCGACTTTCGAAAATTATTTTTTGTATCGATAGCATTTATGCCCTTGGAAATTTTCTGACGAAACTGACGTTTTTGTTTGCAGAGCAAAAAACTGTCTGATGCAACGCAAAACTTTGTAGATACATGACTCCGCGTTCTAAATTATAAATATTTTCAACCTGTCTAAAAACACATGTCTCGGTCCGTCGGTGTCATGAACCATCATGAGTCACGACTGAAGTCACTGTGTTGTTGTAAAACGAAATGAAAAATAAAACTTTTGTCGGAAGGTAACCATTTTTTTTTCACTCTAAAATATAGAGCCACTATTATTAGTATGAGAAACAAATATTTTTAAGAATTCGCTTTTATGAAGGTATGCATAAAAGCTTTATTGTATATATTGATATCTAAAATAAATAACAGGTAATAAAAAAAAATATATATATAAAGTACTCAGGTGGATTTATCCTATGAAGGGATTACTTCTAGTCGACTCAACTTTCATCATCATCATCGTTTCAGCCATAAACTCATACTCCATTACCCTACTGGACAGAAAACTCAATTGTCAAGTGCCTTGTAAATAGAGGTGAATAATATCGGCGTGAATTTACAGGGTACAGAGGAATAACACCTGAGTCCTCAGGAATGGCCACGCATGGGGGGTATCATGGGCGAAACAGTATACTCTGTTATGTCCATGATACTGCTTATGTCTATAGGCGACGGTTACCACTTTCCATCAGGTAGGCTGTCAGCTTATTTGCCATTCTAAGTTGTATAAAAGAATATATATCCAATAACTATATATTGAGTTCCTCCATACGATGATGACCACCCATTACGTTATCGCCCATACCAGTCTGATATCTATATTCACTACGAGCGGATTCTTTTGTTAAATAACCGATACTTAATATATCTCTATTAGATATTGTAACTACAATTATTATGTATGTTTATAATTACTCCTCTCCATCCAAAGGTTGCCTGGAAGAGATCGCTTTTAGCGATAACGTCGCCCATTGTTTTCTCATTGTGATTATTTCTTATAATTGTTTATATCTAGAACAAGTTTACTATTGTAATCTTTTGGAGGAAACAATAAAGAATATCTATCTATCTACATATAACCCACCGTTACTTGTAAAATCTTTGATGAAAAACTTAACTCTGGGGTTAAAGTCTCGTCTTCATACGTCCGCGGTATTCGCGGAAGCACATCGACCCACATTCGGGTAATAACTGTGGAAATTCTTCAAAACTATATAGTAAGGGCTTTGTTTCTATTTCGGTGTGGGATCACTCATCATCCGTTGCACTGTTCCGGATTGGAGTTACGCCAGAACTTCACAAAGGATGCACAGGGCTCGGCGTTATGACGACCCAACTTGTGGCATGAGAATAAATCTAGTCTTTATTCTTATGGTTGTGAAATACCGTTAGAAAGAATATTTGCTTTGAATATGTGATACTTAATTCTTATTTAATAAATAGATAGCTCCATATTCAGCTAATATTAAGCATGCAAATTATAGTTTTTTTTTTTATTTACTAATTAATTTTACAATAAATAAACAAATTTATCATAAACAAATTCGTACAAGAACATGTCAAATTATTAAATTTTATATGTATACTCAAATTATTATAGTTACATCGTCATAGTCGTAGAATACTGTCGGATCTTTATACGTAACTTTGTCAGATCCGTCAGTATTCTACGATTATGACGAAATGTATGTTATAAACGTAATATTAGTTTTAAAACTGTATTGTTTCTTCTCATATTGTATTGTATAAATACATTTTGATATTTTTCCTGACATTGTTTAGAAATTACAGTAAAGTTACAGGGTACAGACACATAACACCCTAATCTTAAGGAATGGCAACGCATGATAGGAACTATCACATCATACCAGCCTTTAACTGTCTACTACTCAAGATCCTCTCCTTTGGAGGGGTTTTGCCAGTAGTTGTCACGCTTGGCAGGCGGATCGACAACTGTAGTTAGACTTTAGAGATGTTTTAAGAGGGACGCTGCTGCACATCCCTCGCCCTCCCTTAGTCGCCTCATACAACACCCACGAGAAAGGAAGAGGTGGCTTATTCTATGCTGGGACCATACGGCAATTCTTGAACTGTCATGTATAGCAATAAAATTACAAGGTTCGAAGGCATAACACTTTAATGCTTAAAAATGTCAATGATTTATGGTTTAAGGGTTTTTATGGGTGAGATGATAGACGAGAATCAAAGCAGGTCTGTTAGCCCATCGTGACGAATTCCACTAGAATTAACCATGATAGTTTCTAGGGGAATCGCGTGGAGGTCGACCTGATAGTGTGTATTGCTAATAACGGGAAAATTAGACCCCATTACTAACAATCCCTTTCACCCCAATGATTAGGGTACCATAAGTTTCATAGTGTATTCGATGATCCATGGCGTTGCATTTGTCTATAGGCGATGGTTATCGCTTTCTAACAGGTTTGTGGTTAGCGTGTTTACCATTCTAAGTCTCAAAAAAACATATTTTAGTTAAAATATTGCTTGACTTACATACCTTAATCCTGAGTCTATTATCAACGCATTCCTTGAGAGTGGCCAGAGGACCGTCCATTGCCTGTATGCGGGTCAGCACATTATGGCTAACTTTTTCTTTGCGCACAGGTGCCGTAACTGAAAAAAAAAAACATTAAACGACATTAAATATACAAGAGAATCGATGAGAAACGTTAGGTGAGGATGAAGTTACTCAGTCTACCTATTATGACGAACTTGCTAGGAATCAAACACAATGCTTTCCAGAATGCGCCTTTCAACAGCCAAGCCTTACTCTGTTAGAGTAAATTACCAACAATTCCCAATACGATCCGGTATCTCCTCTCTTCAATAGAGATAACTTCAAGTACATAAATAATATTATGTATTTATTTTTATGTACTTACTATTTATACATATAATTATAGAAATAAAACTTTGCAATACTAATAAGTGGGCATGTGTTGTCACCATAGAATAGGCCATCCTTTGGTGTGGGAGTGGTAGCAGCGAACCCCTTAAAACATCTCTAAAGTCTAACTACGGTTGCCAATTCAAGGGAAGACTTATGTTCAGCAGTGGACAGTTAAAGGCTGATGAATCGTAACAAGTCAATGACCTATGTGTTAAATACCTATGTATTATCTATGACACACTTATCACACCTGTTAAAATATTGGCGTAATACGATGACGTCAAATCGCTGTTTAGTGACACAGACTTTATGAAATTGAAAATTGATCATAACACCCCAGAAACTTTAGCAGTACATTTAAAAAAAAAATACGAAGCATACTCAAGTTCCTTGAATCTGAGAACTTGCAGCCAGAGTCATAATACCCGAAAATAATTTAAATCAGATGCAGCCGGTACGAGAAATTTAAATTTATTTTTGACTTTCACGGGAATATTGCACACAGTGCTAAAAATTCAAAGAAATGTACTTGAAATATCTCGGAACGTAAACCATGCCACTGACTAGATTGATACAAAAATGCAACAGTTGATAGAAAAGGGAATTCAACGTGTAAAATATATAATAGAATAGAAATTCCAAATGAAACCGAGAGCCGGTCAAAATTAATTAAACAACAGGTTCCCCGATAGGCAGATACGGATCGCGAATGCAAATTGTTTCATTACTTCACTTTTGCTATTTAGAAAGAGATAGCTTTTATGCATTCTCTTTATCGCATCTCTCCACGATACAAACCATATAAATTTCTATCAACATACATGTAATACAGAACAAATCTGTTTTAACGCCAGTTAGTCACTAGTTGTTAATTTAAAAATAACAACGTAAAACTAACGATAAATCTATGCAGCTCTCGAGTCGAGGTACCAGGGAGGCATGGCTCGCATGCGGTCGCCGATCGCGAATTACTTTCACTCCACTATCCCCGGGCGCTGACCGCACGGCCGGGGTCGTCGCCCGCGAGCCGAGCGCGGGAAACGCCACCCGCCATCATGCCATTCAGAAAAGCGCGCCATGTTTACACAGATGCGCGCCGAAACGCGTTTCATTGCATCACTTCCGTTTGCGTTCCGTTTCGTGATTCTTATGCGTTCGGATTGCACGTGCCGATTTGATTTTCTGCATTGCATTACTTGCTCTCTCACATTTTGTCCGCGAAACCGGGGAACTATTAATAGAATACAAACGCTTGGCCTACCTAACACTATATTTAGAAAAGTACGGGAGTCTAGTACTAGCTACCGATAAATCATTATCGGAATAAGAACTAAGCGTGGAATGTTTTAATAATGTTAAATACCACTTAATTTATCATCTACCAGATGATTATTATTGCTATGTCATATCTATCGCCATATCGCTCCGTTGCGTATACATTTAAGGAACAATAAGTATTTTTAAATTATGCGTCGTCCCGAGGTCTATGCCTATATAAATAAAGATTGCTTACATTATGATAATTAACAAACCACCCATAGAGTGCAGTAAACAATAAAGATACACACTGATAATACAAGATTCGATAATGCAAAAATTCATGTCAACATCGGCGCGTGCGTACTCAGCGGTGATAAGTTATCACTTAACAGAATTGTAAACATAGCTATACCCCTTGAAACAATTTAAATAATTCTAAGGTTATTTGCACTAAAGTGCTGATCAATTTAAAAAGTAGAAAAAAAAAAGTTTAAGCACTAAGGCATAGAAGTTTAGTTTCATTGCCTTTTTAAAAGTTGACCCAATACGCGTACGAGACGACGGTCCCAGGCGAATCTGGATGGACGTCAACGACCGATGCAACGATGCGCCGGCGCCGCGCGCAACAGAGACAACATGCATCCCACTCATGTGGAAAGCGGTTACGCAACAATTGTGTACTGCGAAAGTCGTCTAGCGAAGCGCGCCGTAACTCTGCGTCTCTAGATAACAAGATAAAGCAAACTATACATACGAGGTCTGTCCGGAAAGTTCGTATAAAAGTGTTCTGGAATGCGAGAAAGAGGAGTGGGGAGGCCAGGTAAGCGCAGGACCCCTTCCTTATGTCCCTAACAATGCTTCAGTTCTGGTCTGACCGCCGTGCGGTGCGAACTGGCTTGTCACGCCATCTGTGAAGTTACCTCTTAACGAAACCCCGTCGGCATGGAGCCCGCTTCCGTTGAAGAGCAGCGCGTCGTAATCAAGTTTCTCTCGAAACTCGGCAAGAATGGCCGTGAAATTTTTGCCGATCTCAGAACAGTTTATGGGGATGATGCTGTGAAGGAACCAACCGTCCACAAGTGGCTAAAAAGATTCAGAGAGGGCCGAGAAAGAGTTCGATGTTCGGGGGATTGTCCATCAAGAATTCGTCCCTCCAGGCCAGACAGTTGATGGAAAATTCTACGTCGATGTGCTCAGACGCCTCAAAGCTCGTGTGGCACGAGTTCGTCCAGAATTGGCGCGAGAGGGGCGTTGGATTCTTCACCACGACAATGCCCCTGCCCACACCTCTCTTGTTGTCCGTGAGTTTTTGAGTAAAAATTCCATTACGGTGACCGAACACCCCCCCCTATTCGCCGGATTTGGCCTCGTGTGACTTCTTCTTGTTCCCAAAAACCAAATTGGTACTTCGGGGGCGGCATTTGGGGGACATAAATGAGATAAAAAAAGCTACGACGGGGCAGCTGAGAAACCTACAACCAGAGGACTTTCAAGGAGCCTTCTCACAGTGGAAACGGCGTTGGCACAAGTGCATTATGTCACAGGGGGAGTACTTTGAAGGGGATAAAATTGATTTACCTGAATAATTGTAAAATAAAATTTTTAAAAAACTTTTATACGTACTTTCCGGACAAACCTCGTATCTGAAGCGAGATATTTTAAACCGTCTTTGCATTATCTATGGGAGTGCTAGAGCTACTGGATCTTGGAGAACCACTTGATATTAATAATAGATTAGTTCGAATGATTTATACAGATTGAATCGAAATCATTTACATACTTTCAAAGGAGTGTTTTGCTTATTAAACATTGCATGTGTAACTCCTATAAATTACTAAAATAAATTTTGATATAAACATATAAAAATAAAATTAAACAAAATAGAAGAAAGTCTCCACAAGTAGCATTCGTTCACGAGTATGACGTATGAGCCAAGATTATTGTAAAATAAATTGTTGATTTAAAAAAAAACGCAGAATAACTTCAATAACATAACAAAATACACATTAAAACGGCTGATAGAGATGTTTATTTTTTTTTTAATGGGTGATAATGGAATGGTAACCCCACCCGCGCTATCGGTATACACCGGGGGGCTCCAGCGAAGGATGATAGGTGAGGACGAAGGTTAGACTTTGTACAAAAGACTTCGGTCTATCTAGTTATTTCTGTCGGCAAACTGAGAATGTTTAATTCTCTTTAAAGTTAAAATTTTAATGTAATATTACGAATATTATTAGCGAATTCATTCTACCATAAATCAGTATAGAATGAATTTGTAATTTTAAATAAACGACTTTTACACTTGATATACGTAATCAACAACCAATCAAATTTAAATTTTACTTTACAACATATTCCTTTATAGTGGATGACGTAATCCCTTCGCGGAACAATCAATTTGAATTTAAGATAGGTGCGGGGAATAGCGTTTTAGAATTCACCCCTTCATTGTATTCTTCATTTCTCCGTCACCACACAAACTCCTTACTCATCATTATCACTTCAATCTTTAACTGTCCACTGCTGAACATAAGCCCCTCCACTCCCCTTGGGGGGATTTGCCAGTAGCTGCCACGCTTGGCAGGCGGGTTGGCAACTGCAGTTAGACTTTGGAGATGTTTTAAGAGAGACGCTGCTGTTCATCCCCCTCTCTCCCTTAGTCACCTCTTACGACACCCACGGGAAAGGGACGGCCTATTCTACGCCGGGACCACACGACGAATTTTAAATTCCTTACTAAATATCATTAAATTACTAGAGAAATAACTTTCATCTAAGGGTATCCGCGAACGAATAATTGGGTTATTTTTATGTGTGAAAATGGTATGGTAACCCTACCTGCGCTAACGGGATACGCTGGCGGAGCACCAGTGAAGGGTGATAGATGAGAATGAAAACAAGCCAGTTAGTTCATCATGATGAATTCATCAGGAATTAACCATGATAGTTTCCAGGGGGAACCGCGAGGAGGTCGACCTGGTTGGGTATATTGCTAGCAATGGGATTTTTAGTCTACATTACTAAGAATCCCTTTCCCCCCACGAATAATTGGTTAGAGGCAAGCGCACTTTCTTTTTACGCAAATTGTATTTTTACACACCAATACGATACCGTCATGCGATCGCGTGTGACCACATTTAATTTCCTTGATTAAATCTTAAATAACGAATAAATTTGATCTTAATAAATATTACTTAAGTTATAAATTGGTAAAATTCCATGTGATTCAACATGAGGTAGCAATGCATAATTCTGTTTCAACCTGAACTGGTCTGAAGGGCAAAAATCATCTTAACTTTACAGGCAGAAACAACTTGATTAAGAACTTTAACTCAGTAGCTGAATAAATAATATACACATCAAAGTACATTAAAATGCTGCGTCCATGTTTTTTTTCTATGTGTACAAACAAAAACTGTTACTTTTCTTTTCGTGAAATCACTAATCAAATAACTAAATTAAACAAAGCCCAGAAAAAGAAAAATGAAACAGCAACTATGTGGAATTATAAACGTCCAGACATTCCTCGAGTCAAAAGCGATGATGTAATTAAACAACAAAATGAGGTTCACCTCAAAACGTTTCTATCGACTATAATACAAGCCGAAAAGAAAAAAAACCAAGCAGTTTATGTAATACAACAAGGCCGGGGCAGCGGGTCACGGGCGCCATGCAAATGAGCTGATGCCATCGCTGATACCGTGACAACGTCAATGAATACACGAGCCTGGACCGTTCCATTCATCTAGAGGCATCTTGTGCAGTTAAAGGTACTGTTTTATCGACCGCCAATCAATTATCAAATCAATTTGCCAAGTCTGAATTGAAGGACCTTGGACTTGTTCTCGTTGTATATATATTATGTCCGGCTTTGGCGCGTTAAACGCCACAGAGGTCAGTCCACCAAAATTCGTCGGGTGTGACAAGAGAAATAGATATTTGGCGGTAATCATTCTAACTCACGAGTACAACCAGTTCTTTGTATCAGAAACTAAATATTTCCACTCCAGTATTATATTACACTGATCTGATAAGTTCTGAAGTTTTCGAAGACATATAATTAAAATACGACTTCATTAAATTGCATTTTATAAGATTGCAATTAGCTCAATATGACAGGTTAATGATTATTGTCGGGTAAAGTCCTAATACAATTTTATTATCTATTTAAAAAAAAAAAAACAGATGTTCTAAGAGCAGGTGTTCGCTCAGATGTTTATTATCTAATGACTCAGAGGACAAATTTATCCTAGTTTGTTAAACGGCTGCTTGATTTTTTATAAAACTTGGAATGGCAGACACGCTGTTTGAAAATGATAACCACTCAAAACTTAGAATACTCCCATGGTAACCCATACGACACCATGCTTAAGGTCTAAGGTAACCAAATTTTGATGACGATTAATACAGAAACAATGACTCAAATGAAATTGGTGACAAATCGAGACATTCAAACATTTAATCGATTTTTTATTACAATTTTATATTGGATAAAAGCAGACTGTCTTATAACCGGATCAATTACTCATTTACAATTTCATTAAGTTTAAAACAGAATACAAGTCTGTGGCATATGCAATTTTACTGCTATATCCCATCCCTCAAAATCACACAAGCATAGCAATCATCTTATCCATTCCTGGTAAAGCGACATCTGTCGAATTGTCATGTCAATTTCTTCTATCCATCGATAGAACACGTAACACCTACTTCGACGAGTTCTGATTGATGTTATCCATAGTCATATTTATGTCATATACATGATCACTTTCTATTACATTGAGAACCGCGAGTTTGTTCGCCAAAGTCAGTATTATAAAAAATAATAATTAAATGCATATAAACGATTTAAAAAGATTAATATTTCTATATTAATTCCCTTAAACAAATATATCGTGTTTTCTTTTCATATGTTAATTTCTTAAAGATGTATTAAGTGTTTAGTGTACTAAATTGAATAGCTTTCTACAAATTTATCTCATGTCAGGTCTCGTATGTTTCTTTTTTTTTTTTAAATATGTAAATACAAAAGACGATTAATAAACATACGGAGATATTTCTCCAAAACATAAAATCTATCATAATTCACTGATACTTCGCCAGCGTATACCTACAGCGTAGGTGGAGTTACCATTCCATTTTAATCCTATAAAAAAAAATCCAAACTCATTTAAAACTTCCTTCTTTTGGCGGTCGCTAAAAATAAAACCTAATTTAATAAGATCCACCATTTAGGTATTATATCCGTGAGTTTGTGAATCCTTACGCGGTTTGGGTGGCCGGAGATTATCCCGAGGGCGGAGTGTTGTGGGGGCACTGGGGGAGTGGGGGAGGAGAGGAGAGGTCGTCGCCCGCGGCTGACACAGAATGGCTTGCGTTGAACGCACGGCCTAGACTGACCTCGTGCGTGACCTAACGTTACGCGGGGGTATAGGATACGACAAACACCACTACTACTCAGAGATATCAGTCGTTGATTCAATTAATGTTATTAAAAAAAAAACAATAAGCAAAAGGGAATTTGTTAAATCACCTAATGTAATTTTTAACAAGATTATGTACTCATATGTATTTGAGAGTAAGATATAGCAGTGAAATGACTGAGTATGTAGGCATAACACCTTAGTCTTCAAAAATGGCAACCCATAATATACAATGGGCCATAACAAACAGTACATTTTGTAGTTTTTTCTTTAATTGGTGATAATGGAACGGTAACCCCGCCTGCGCTATCGGGATACGCTGACGGAACACCAGTGAGGGATGATAGGTGAAAATGAAAAGGCAGGTCAGTTAGCCAATCATGATGAATTCCACTAGATTTAACCACGCAAGTTTTCCAGGGGGAACCTCGTGGATGTCAACCTGATAGGGTGTATTGCTAGCAATTGGTCAATTTAGACCTCATTACTAACAATCCCTTTCCCTCCTACATTCTATAGTTATGTTATTCATCTCTGTAGGTGACAGTTGTCAGTTGGGAAAAGGATTATTAGTAATAGAGTACCAATTGTACCATATCAAGTTAACCTCCACCCAGTTACCTCTGGAAACAACTGTGGTTGATTCTTGACTTCATCACAAAAGGCTAACTGATTTGCTTTCATCTACTACCCTACCTATCATCTCTTACTGGCGCCCCTCCAGCATATATCGCCAGCATAGATGAGGTTAACATTCCAGTTTTGCTCATTAAAAAAAAGAGTTGTAATTTTCCATCCAGACTATTTACTATTCAAAGTTGGAAAAAAATAATATAAAACCAGTACAAGAATAAATTCTTTCAATAAAAAAAAAATAAAATTTTGTTAACTTTCTAACATAGGAATACACCCTATCAATTGAATGTTATATCAAACATGGAAATCGGTGCTAATTATTGAAGAAATTATTATATATAAGGTATAACTTATCAAAATACTAAAAATACAATTCAGGAAAATAGCAGGAGCATAATTTTCAAAGGAGGTCAATAAATCTTCTAATTATTTAGAAGTGCACCAAATTTTATCAGTGAGGTGACAATACTATCACTTCCATCTCAAAAATAATATAAGATGCAACTAAGAAAATAAAGAGCGCTAGCACAATACACCACACTAAGAGATTGACAACTAAAACAAGGCTTCAGTCAGCATAAGTCAAATCAATCCTGAGGACTCAGGTGTTATTTCTCTGTACCCTGTAAATTCACTGGCATATCCCACTCTACAAACCACCATGCAACCACAACTGCTTTGCAGTTGAAACACGAATAGGACAGAGGTACTTCTTACAGGGCTACTTTGAACTTGCCTGTGTCCACATAAAAGAGCAAAAATTTGCTTTATTTGCACAACACACATATTTTTTAATAAATATAACAGTGTCACATGTAAAGACAATAGGAATTAATGTAAAGCACCATAAATAAATTAAAATAACTTTAGATTTTCTTAGAATAAAAATCGATTTTTAAATGATTAATTTATGTTTAAAAAATAATGATTTTTTTACAAACTGATACTGTTTTAAAAACGTCATAGTCGTAGAATACTGATGGATCTTTATTAGTAATATATAACAGATTCGTCAGTATTTTACGACTATGACGAAATAAATAATTACTGAAATCATGATTGAACATGGATATAAAGATAATATTTAGCAGCAAACAATTAATCCAATTTTAAATTAGTTGAAAAGTCTTAAACTATGCAAAGTAAATTTTTGGTGTAAAAATTTTATATTTTCTTTAATTAAACTATCCTCCCCACTGGCCTTATCGTATCTGCTATAGTAGGTAACATTATACGAGTTTATTTACTAATAACATAACCTAAAAACACTACCTTGAAATTTTGCAAACCGCTGCTTATTCTTTTCTTCGAGTAACTTCTGTGTTTCTTGTTTCTTCATTTCCTTTTCCCGTTCTCTCTTCATTACTAACTCTCTCTGTCCAACAGGTATTATCGTATTTGAACCTTTCTGTGCCGATTCGTACTGTGATAAGTTTTCATACATTGGAGCATTTTGCACCGGTATTTTGGTTTTTGCGGAATATATTGCCTTAAACGGATTAAAACTAGAACTACAAGCACTAATTTCTGACTCTGAAGTTGAAGAGTCTGAATTTGCTTCTTCAGACATAATAAATTTTTTAAACTACACAAACCAATTATTATGAAATTATATCAAAACAAAACCACTAAACTGACAGTTGACAATACCAAGATAAAAGCCACAGACTAGCTACGGCGCGTTTAGTTTCATCATTTGCGACTAGCTAGTGAGACAAAAATAAAAAAAACTAAATATATAATTAAAAAAATAACCTTATAAATAAATTATTGTTTAATTTTATATTTTAAACTCAGTTTAATTTTATTAATTGTAGAATTTATTTATATATTTCATCAGCTCAATATTAGTGTCTTCATAATGCCACGTTTAATAAAATATAACGCAATAAAAATGCGTTTCAATTTACGCAGTAACACTTGAAATAGCCCAGCAGTAATACGGAAATTATTTTTAAATCGCTAAAGAATATTTAATAGTAGGTATCTATTACCTACTAAACGAAAATACATAAGTAATTGCAGTTTTTTTTTCAATCGACATTGCAATCATATCGATCTCGTGATAGAATGTTGAAGGTTCTTCCTCTATAATTATTAGGGTAATAACAAACGTCTACGTCTCTATAAATATTATAGACCAATAATTAATACGGGTATTATTTATAACGCCCGATAAATATTGATATTTATTTTAATTTTTTATAATGTAATTTAATAATTCAATTGCAACTGAATGTACGTACCAAATTTTGTGTAGTTTTTTTTTGTCCTAGCATATTCCTACATGCAAAAACATTAAAATTAGGTTTAGTTTTGTGTCCTTACCATTTACTTTTAAATTTAGTTTGTAAAGAACTATTTTTAGAGTCATACAATCTTCACAATAAGATAATTGTGTAAACAAGCTATCTCGTCGCTTCGCAATATTGCGTGAACAAGGTCCTAGTAATATGCAATAGGAAGTGCACTCAAGGTTGAGCTCGACCATTGACTATAAATCTTTGAAATATTCATTGATATTTACTTTATATGGCAAAATTATTACAATATTATTTACAAGCAGTAATCTTAAATATATCCTTAATTTAACTTAAATAGTTTTAAATATTCCCTAGTCCTACTCTTATGAAATAGATATCGAAGTTATAATAACACTGTTCTAAATATTCAACTACTCGACACTAGAGGACGCTGTTTCTTAATTCATGTGCAATGAACAATTTAAACATTCCCATGATCCTTAATAAATTTTATCGTATGTATTTAATCACACACATAACTGTTGTATTAAATTCTATATTAAATGTTAGTTGATGTATTCCTATTGATGGTCAATTAAATGTAAACAAAACGTACTATTACATCATGAGTAAATTTATTTAGGTCTCTACGTAAAATATTTGTAGTAATGTATGAGTTAGTACTTCTCTTTTTTTTTTTATTTATTATTAAATTTTATTATACATAAAATGATCAGTTTATTATTTAATTAGCAGATCCAACAAACCTTATTTTGTCCCCTACAAACACCTAATAGCTTTATTTTTTCTTATCGGGGTAAACAATATTTTTATAAACAACAGAATAGTGTAATAAATATATTAGCAATATAAAAATATTCTCAATTTAGTGAAAAAATACAGAAATATTTCATATGACTCCAATGTGTGTTAGAGTTTTAATACTGGCTGTGAACATTGATATTTTTAGAACAGGCCTTGTTTTTTTAAATTTTATCTGTCATAATCTCTAATAAAGTATGTATTTTTCACTAAATTGTAAATATATTACAAATATATTTACTATTCTATTCTGTTATTAATATCAAATAATGTTGACAAAATATAATTACTATCGTTTAAGCGGTTTTTGAGATTAGCGTAATACCATGACGCGGGATTTTATAGACATATTAAGATTTTTGCCCATCAAAGTACATATTTACAAAAATGGATTTCTGGTTATTATAAATTATCTGCATAATCTTTCATAAACCTTTGTAGAGATATAGTGTGAGCTATCTCCTAATACTATAAGTATTACAGTAAAAACTCGAAAGTTTGCGAGAATGTATGAATGGACATTTACTACACTTTCACGCCTAAACTATTTAACAGATTTGAATGAAATTTAGTACATGGATAGATTATATTCTAACTTAACATTTAGAATACTATATATACTAATTCACGTAAGCGAAACTGCAGGTTACAGCTAATAATACACAAACAAATCGTTGACCGGTGCGCGCAATAACTTTGTACCTATTACGTGAATTATCCTATTGGCCGTATGATTTCGCCAAATGATATTTACGTCAACGCACGCAATGTGAAGAAAGTATAGGAAGCGTTTAGAAAACAAAAGTCATCTTTTTGTGTGGCGTACTTATAACAATTATAGTGAAAGAGCGGGCATTGTTTCGTTTTTGCAATGTTCGCTAGTCGCTGCGGGGCCCGCGATCGCTCGCTCGCTTAGCCTTCCGTGCATTGTTTTTTTTATGGGTAAACAATTATATTACGAGTATTATGATTATATATGCTGTAATCTTTAATAAGTAGACTCTTTGTCACTTTTATTCTTTGCAAGCATAATATGATTAATCCTTATGTAGATTAATATAGAATACGTATTTCCAATCAGCCCTCCTGTACTTTTCAGCTAATTATGTTTGGATAATTGTAATAATAATAAATATTTGCTGCAGGTTCAAAACGTGCTTAAAACAACATTGAAAGCACTAATATACAATGATGCTTAGAAACTTTGATACTAGATGGCGCCACTTTTCTGTCATTAGTAATAAGCAGTGATGTTAGAGTTCACTTTTATTGTGTTTACAGTATTTAAATTACTTCTAATAGTAATATAAAAGATATATGTAGATAATTGTATTATTATGTAATAAAACAATTATTCCTTTTTAGATATATAATATAATTAATGATACTTCCTTATGAATCTTATAACAACACGATGTTTTATGATTAACATACATATTTAATTTACAATACAATTTTAACGGATTATTAAAATAAAAATAAAATAATTTTTATTCACGTAAACATAAACGATGAGAATGAAATGTTAACCTCGCCTGGGCTAATGGTATACGCTGGTGGTGTATATGTATGGTGTATGTGCTATCGGGGCACCAGTGAGGGATATAGGCAAGGACAAAAAGGCAGGCATGCAATAAAATTAGTTAATTCATTCAGGTTAGTTCGCTCTTTATGATAAATTGAACTTGAAATTGAATAACTGAATTGGAACTCAGTACGATTGTTTCCGGAGGAATCTCATGGAGGTTGACCTGACCCTTCTCCCTCTTGGCGTTAGATTAGTCTAGTAGTATAGAACAGTAGTGTAGATGATTGTACTAAAAGCGCAATTGTGTTTGTATTGCAGAGCGGCGGCGGCGTGTGCTTAGTGGGTGTGCGTCCCGCTGCATCTATGCTGTATCGACGCAGGTTCAACATACACTGGGACGTCGCCAGGTGATCTCGCCGCATAATTCCAATATTATTCCACAACTAGTCTTTACCCGTGACTTCGTCCGTGCGGCCAGGGTATAAAAAGTAGCGTTTGCTACGTCATTTCTTACCCATTTTAAACGCTATGGATATACCAAATTTCATGACTATTGGAAGAGCGCTATAGCGTAACAAATAAACGAACAAACAAGCTCACTTTCATGTTTGTAATATTAATATAGATGCATGAAGTATCGTATTTAGTTTTTGAAATTTCTAAACTGTTACACTCTAGAAACTTGAACTAAGAACTCGAATTTTTCCGACTAGTCGCCTTGAAGTAATTTGAATCCGCATGTCTCATATTATTTTTGAGTTATATATTTATATTATATAAGGTATAATTGTTCATATATCTCAATTGATAATATATATATATATATATATATATATATATATATATATATATATATATATATATATATATATATATATATATATACCGAGTTATATAAACAGATGAAGCAAATCGTAAGCTTATAAGTATTTGCGACTCGCTATTTGCCTACTCGCAAGGAATTAAGTGTAGTGATGAATTTATACTTTTATTGCAACAAAATCTTGTAATTAAACATTATTATTAAGACAATAATTAAAGAAGGTGGTAAACTCGCTGCAACTATATCTGATATTGGGTTCAAAGACGAGTATGCTCGGAGAAATATCAATGTGACGTATAACCTCTGGTTGCTACATCTGTGATCACATTTTTTTATTACTAATTGTTGTATAGTTAAGAAACATGTTAAAAGACGTGAAAGCCTACGCTTTTTATTTTCACAGGTTGCTGCTGAAAAGGAGAGGACTGAGAGGGGTGAGGTAACCTGGCCCGGGTGCGGAGCAAGTCAATTTCAACCAACGCCAATCCAACCGAAATGTGTTCCGCCGTAACCGAGTACCTAAACATTGCGTAAAATATACATCGAATAATGTACGATCCGTCCAAGACGCTGCCAAACATTTTGAACGAATTTATTAGTGTAAATACAGTTTTAGACGATTTATATTGTGTGTAGTCGCGTGTGCGTGTGTGACAGCGCCACCTGGCGTGGAGTAGAGACAACGTGGCGGGGACGCATGCGCCGTCGGGTCCGGCGCTGGCGATGCCCTTTATTGAAGACGAATGGTGGTCTGCGGAGAATGAGGGCAGAATGGTCGACCTCTCCAATTGCCTTCAGGTAATTTATATTGAACAATAACTTATTTTATGTCATTAGTTGTACTAATAAAGCTAAATTAATAGTGATTACGCTCTTCCCCTCCTCGCGCTCTAAGGAACTTTACTGTTAGAATATGTTGCTACAAAATATATTGTTTACGCCACTTGAAATAACAAAGCAACTGATGATTCATTTATGATAACCGTGGTAATCGTCGCCTGTAAATAGAAAGAGCAATGTTATGACATCAAGAAGACTAAGATATTAGACCTCCGTACCTTGTTATTTGCTTGCCATATTCTTTCATTTCAAACTGAAATATAAGCATGCGAGCACAACCGTCACACGCACGGTAGAAATACGATTAGGACAAATGTATACAACCAACTTTTGCATGAAAGGTGCTATGCTGATCACAGTGTCAGTCCGTAATATTTACCATTTTACCATACACAAATTCATTAAAGAAAGTCAGGTAAAAGAATAATATTATTAACCAAGAATAATACCTCAATTACAGGACGCGGTAGTAGCTGCTGGTGGTCAAGCCGCCGCTCAACTGCAACAAATGGCGTCATCGCTGGGAGAGCTATCCCAGGCAGAACTGTCCAATATTGTGGGCGGACTCACGCTGGAGCCTGACGGTTCAGAGGCCGCCGACCCCGATGACATACTCAAGCAACTGGGGGAGACTGCCTTCGATAATTTTGACACCTTTTTCACGGATCTTACAAATGCTACGGCGTCAGCAGTTCCACCAATCGAAATAAAGGTAAGTATGAATATTACTGTTGCAACGAGGCCCTTAGTAAAGGCACTTTTTTTGCTATCTATGTACTATATGAGAAGGATATAGTCTACTTATCCCGGTCATTGAACAAATCCTAGGCATGTGGATGAAGTGGCGAATAAAAGCTAGTATATAATGACATAACGATTTTAATCTTTGTCATAGAGGTCGACAATGTTACTACACATTAACGGACCACAACGATAAGAATTTATTCAACTATTATAGGTATATATATGTCCAAAATTTTATTGAAAAGTATTCAAATGAGTATTTGAGTGCCTAGTGTGATTTTTACAAACATTTACTTTACGATCATCTTCCAGCAAATTTTCGTATTATAAGAAATTTTAATTTATATTTTAACAAGACATCAAACATTTGTATTGCTCAAAAACCCACGAGTTAATCTACTCCTAATATTATTTAATTATCATCAATAATCTACTGCAAACTTTCTATCTTCTATTCCAGCAAGAAGAAAATAATAACATATCATCGCCAGCCTCCGGGAGTCAATTACAAGGATATTACCAGCCTTCAAGTCAGCTGTCTCTACCTAATGGTGGGCAGCAGAGGTTACAGCAATTACTGAGGTCGGGAACGAACGCGATCAGTAATGCTGTCACGAGTAATATCAACAATGGTCGATACAACATCGCATCTGCTAACCCACTGTTGGCGGAGAAACTAGCAGCGACATCTAGCGGCATAAAGCAAGAACCAATGAGTTCAGATTATAGTGGGACAACTATGAACTATGGAAGTGCATCGCCAATGCAACGAGTACCGAGTGGAAAGCCGCAGGTGCATGATGCTGGAGGAGGTAAAGGTGAGTACCTATTTATCATATTGTCAATTATAAAAATATTTATTACTAAGAGACAGCTAGTGGCGAATAGTAAAACTAAAATAACTGTACTAGCATAAAATTACGTCATTACACTATTAGTTTCCAAAATGTTACATAGATGTCAGTACTAGTCGTAACGTATTAAAGAAATTATAATCTCTCTGAGATGCACCGGCATCTACCTACCTATGCAGTTTTCTCCAGCAATCAAAGTGCACTTTCGATTTCCTCTCAAGGAAGTAGTAGCGATTTTCCTTTCGGTCTGCCGCTTTTACCTCCGCACCTACTTTTTAATATATTGCTTACGAGAATGTTAGCACATAAATAATAATAAAACCTACATAAGTAAATAAATGAATGACTTTTATGGTGTATATAATACAATGGATGGATAATATAAAATTCTAATGTATTCTTCGAAATCAGGAAGCGATTTCAGTTTATATAATTATGCCTTACTTGCATCAACCTTTGCTTTTTCTGTTACAGATTCAAACTATCTAATTTAACTCTGTGATAAAAATATTTTACACAAATTTCATATTTATGCAAATTTTTTTTATTCCGCCTTTTTTAAATTTAATAATATTTGTAAATCTACATTCTTTTTTTTAACTCTTAAAGGCTTACCTTCTTCAGGCATACCAGCCCTATTCTACCCTAAACTGATTTCCCAGAATAAGTTTTTTTTTTTTTTTTTTTTTTTTTTTATGCAACTTAGAATGACAAACAAGCTTGATGGAAAGTGGTAACAGGACATGAGCAGTACCATGGACATAGCAGACTATACTATTCTACCCCCATATTCCTGAGGACTCAGATTTCCCAAATTCACGCCATATCCCAAAGTTTATTGAAACACGAATGGGACAGAGGTTTCCCTCGACTTTTGTACAAAGTCTCCCTCTGGAAAAATCTACTTTCCCTACTCACGGAAAAATAGGAATTAATGCGCATCAATAATTTACAGACATGTTCAAAGATTTCTGAGTAAGGTTTTTTTTTATTTAGCAACCTCTTTTTTGGATCTTCAAATATAGAACACTTTTTTTTTTATACAACTTAGAATGGCAAACAAGCTGCCGGCCCACCTGATGGAAAGTGGTAACCGCCGCCTATAGACATGAGCAGTACCATGGACATAACAGAGTATACTGTTTCGCTCATGATACCCCCCATGCGTTGCCATTCCTGAGGACTCAGGTGTTATTCCTCTGTACCTTGTAAACTACTTACTAATTTTTCATATTCTTTCATCTTTTTAAATTTAATTAATTGAAACTTAGAAAAAAAAAATACTTTGACAAAATATATACCTATTTATATAAATTTTATATATTAATCCAATTTGTCTAAACTTATTTCTTAACATTATATATTAATAAGATAATTTCGCTAAATTACCGTTTTATGGACTGTTAATAGCTAAATTTATTATAATTTTGCCTTAAATTTACTTCATATTGGTCCTTAAAGTCTTTGATGTGATATCAAATTTAAATTTTTTAAATAGATTTAGAGAAATGGCTCCTCAGAATCGATTACAGTGAAATAGACACTATACCTATTAAAATAAGATATAAATAAATTTATAATGATTTTGTCTTAAATTTACTTCATATTGGTCCTTAGAATAAAGTCTTCGCTGTGATATCAAATTTAAATTTTATAGTTAGGTTTAGAGAAATGACTCCTCAGAATCGATTACAGTGAAATAGACATTGTACCTGTTAAAATAAGATGTAAAATTAAACGTTCGTTCGCACCTACAAGTTTATATTATACCGATTTAACGCCATGTGGCGCCGCCGTGCGGCCGGAAGCGAAAGCTAACACTGAGTTTCTCGACTTTCCCTAATAATACTCAGCCTAACACACTATCATACTCTGTCAAACGTTATGATACATCTATTAAATTGTACAATTATTAATTTTCCAAACAAACATACAAAAAATCAAATCTTTTAGAATAGAATAGAATAGAATAGAAATCATTTATTCAAATAAACTTACATTGAAGCACTTTTGAAAAGTCATTACATTTTTTTTAATTTACCGCTTTTTTTCTCTTTAGAACATTAGATTATACTGTTATTTTTTTTAACGGATGATAATGGAATGGCTACCCCGCCCGTGCTAACGGTATACGCTGGCGGGGCACCAGTGATGAATGACAAGTGAGAACGAAAAGGCAGGTCAGTTAGCCCATCGTGATGAATATACCTAGAATTCAAAACAAAGGTTTCTAGGGTTGACCACGTGGGGGTCGACCTGACAGGGTATATTGGTAGCAATGGGACTGGTAGTCCGCATTACTAACAATCCCCAATACGGTGATCGCTTACCATCGGATGAGTCGTATGCTTGTTCCTCAGTAGTATAAAAAAATATTTACAACATATTTCTTCATTGTTTTAAAACACCATTTTCACTAATTGCAGCTGCAACTGTAACAGCAGGCTGCAGCATAACGCTGATCAGGGCCCATTTATATATTATAAAAAAAAAAGATCTTTTTTTACCATTAATTTTGTAGTTACTCGAAAAAAAAATATCAAAAATCAGACGAGTGACACATTAGATAGGACGTTTCCTTTTCAATATAAGAAGCGCCGCCAATCCACAAGTTTTTGGTTCCACCAAGCGAAGTGGCTCCCTCTAGGGACAGCACTTTACTGTTGTCGCAGCGCAAAGTACTTGAGTGCTAAACTGCTAAACCGTAATATGTTTTTTATCTACTGAAAGTTCTTCCAACAACCTATTTTTTTGCTATTTCGGCGGCACATAAAAGATAATGATCAATACTCGTAATATACCGCGTGCGTGTCTACATATGGGATACTTAAGTCAGTGTTTCTCAAATTTTTTCATGACGCGACCCCCTTATTATGTGAAAATATCTTGCGACCCCCTACCGTCCACGGTTTCGAATGTGTATGTAATAATATAATTTTATTATAGTACAATTATGAAATCCGTACAGTTGTATTTATATTCACAGTTAGGTATCGATAAAATAAAATAAATAATACACAATAAAGTGTCTAAAACAGCCATGTAATCGATGTCTGTTATAGATACTTCATTATGTATCATTGATTGATTGATGTATTTACGGAACTGTTGATTTTTCACTGCTTCGCGACCTTGCGCGACTCCCTGTAGAGGCTCGGGGTCGCAACCCACACTTTGAAAAACACTGGCTTAAGTGAAATAATTTATTTTTGTATAAAACGAAATGTTTTTAAATATGTATATTAAATATATATATTAAATATTCAGAGATAATCCCACTTCTTCAATAAACGAAAAAGTTGACGAGAATAGATTTTTTTTTCAACTTAGAATGGCAAACAAGCTGACTGCCCACCTGACGGAAAGTGGTAACCGTCGCCTATACACATGAGCAGTACCATGGACATAACAGAGTATACTGTTTCGCCCATGATACCCCCCATGTGTTGCTATTCCTGAGGACTCAGGTGTTATTCCTCTGTACCCTGTAAATTCACGCCATATCCCACCCTTCAAACCGAAACACAGCCATGCAAACACAACTGCTTCACGGTAGAAACACGAATGGGACAGAGGTGCCCAAGTTAACGACTTTTGTACAAATCTGGTGATGGATGTATATTTGCTACTCTTTCACGCAAAATCTACTGAACGTATCTGAATGAACTTTAATACTCGGTTAGGTTGCATCCTAATTTAGCATATAGGATAATTTCTATAATGCTTAAAAGCAGGTAAAACCGCAGGAAACAACTAGTAATTGACAAATAACGGAGTTAACTCTTGTAGTAGAAACTGTAAAAATATACATATTTATATAAAATAAAATAAAAAAAAAAACAACCAAAAAACTGTACATTGTTTTTTTATACGGAACCCTTGGCGTGTGAGTCCAATTCGCACTTGATCAGTTTCATTTTTATATTGGTTTAATTAAGGTTTAAAAAAAAGAAAAAGTATGGGATATATATAAATATACATATAAAAAACTATTAAAGTATTTGTCTATGAGCCCGTTTAGTTCGTCCCAAACTAAACAGATGGCGCTGTTTAATATTATATTTAGAGGTATTTATTTATTAACTAGCTTTCACCCGCGATTTCGTCCACGTGACCAGGACATGTTTACCGACTGGGATAAAATGTAGCCAATGCCTATCCTTTTCCATCTCATAATGTACGTGTATAAGTACTATAAAGTGACAAACAAACAAACTCACTTTCACTTGTATAATATTAGTTAGAATACGAACAATCACCTACCTAGTTTTTTTTTTATGGGTGAAAATGGTATGGTAACCCCGCCTGCGCTAACGGGATACGCTGGCGGAGCACCAGTGAAGGGTGATAGATGAGAATGAAAACAGGCCAGTTAGCCCATCATGATGAATTCATCAAGAATTAACCATGTTAGTTTCCAGGGAGAACCGCGAGGAAATCGACCTGGTTGGGTATATTGCTAGCAATGGGATTACATACATACATACATATCTGTCACGCCTGTCTCCCATTAGGGTAGGCAGAAACAATGGAACGCCAAATGCTTCGATTCAAACAAACCTCTTTCGCTTCTTCCACATTCATCAATCTTTTCATCGTGCAATGGGATTCTCAGTCTTTATTACTAACAATCCCTTTCCTCCAACAATCACCTAGTTGTATCCTATGATTTCATACAAACTGGAATAGGTAATTCATGAAATCAGAATGTCTGACCTACATACTTTGTTAATGATGTCACTGGTAGGCACGTAACTTATAGAATTAGTTAAGCAAATGTTGCTTATTACTAGCCACCCGCCCTGGCTTCACACGGATAGACAGGTAGATCTTTTATTTTATTTTCAAATAAAAGCACGTTGATAATGTAGCTTTCTAGGGGTGAAAGAATTTTTTTTAAATCAGTGAAATATATTTAGGTTTATTTAATGCAAACAACAAATTTCATCACAACCATCTGGACG